GGTCGATTTTTTTCAGATCTAAATATTTTTTTGATAGTTCTATGATCGTCTTCAGTGCTGGGGAAGATCTTTAAGAAGTCCCCATTACCCGTACCCGCAAAATTCACATTTTGCCTCCTTTCTTAAAATCACTAAATTTGATGTCGGGTTTAACCATGATGGGTCGAATTTTAGGTTTGTCCACATTAATAGCATTTTCAGGGTCATTTTGAACATCCATACACTTATTAATAATTTGCACATCACTATCGATTACATTAGATTCGTTAGTTGAGAGCTTTTCAAACTTATTGGTAAGCGGTACATCAACATTGCACTTAACAATTTTACATGGGCGAGCAGGGTTTTTAGGGAGAATAAATCCCTCATTATACCGGCCGTCATTAATAGTACGTTAAAAATTTTTTTTCGAAAATCGTCTGGGTTTAGGTGTGTTAACATCACATACATTCACACTATTAGAACTACCTGCATTTTCAGTATTAGAACCATTTGTTAACATAGAACATTCAGTATTAACACCTTTAGCATTTACATTAATCTGACACATGTATTTTTTCACAACTATTTAAGAGACTGTAGAGACATTAGGTATTTTTGGAAGGAAGTAAGAAGAAAAATTAGCAACGCCTTTGCCGGGAATCGAACCACGGACCTCTGGAATACCGCCCCAGCGGCAGAACTACTACACCACGAAGGCACGCTAGGAAAGTGGACGAAATACCTTATACACTCCCCTTTTTAAAGGGCGACTGGGGATTTTAGGGGACCCAATCGCCAAATCATGGGTGTGGTAAATCCTCATCCAACACCCTTTTAGTTCGGGCGCCTTTTAGTTAGCAACGCCTTCGCTGGGAATCGAACCACGGACCTCTGAATACCGGCCAAGTGTGCAGAACCACTACCACGAAGGCACGCGAGGAAAGTGGGAGAAATACCTTATAAGACAATTTAACATAAGAAGGATTCAGAGCGCAAAAAGAGTCGCACTTATCTCTATAAATATTAATCAGTCCATCACCAAAAGCACAATGTTTTCAAAATCCATTTTTAGTGGTTGGTCACTTCTTCGCCAGGAATTAATTGAGTGAATTTAGCAAGTTCCGGTCGTCTGTTATTAATACTACACTTATTCTCTCCATAAGTAGCGAAGCTTCTATAAAGTCCTTTTACGAATAGGCATCCGTAGTAATAAGCATTTTGCCAATTTTCATCTAATGTAGAGTTTCCGAAATTGATGAGATCATCCGTAAGGATCATCTTTCCATTCATTTGGTTCCGAGCGGCGGTCCGTCTTATTTCCAGGATCAATTTAACGGGAGGTTTTCATTCCCACTCGTAGCGTCATGGAGGTAGGAAGTAAGATGGAGTTGCTCTAAACAAGTTTCTCCCGTACCCTGCTTTGAAGCACCGGCGATCCCTACGTGGTGACCAAAACATTGGGTCATTTACCATTGAGTTCAATGGGATTTGACACGTACGGATATAAATATTTTGTAATTACGTCTTAAATATACATATAAATGTATATATTTTCTTTTTCTACAACACTTCAGAGTCCTAAGTATATGAAAACAACATATTTTTAAACAACATTTCATTCTGAACGGAATTAAATGCTATACTTTTCACAGGACAGTTTTCTCAGAATGGTTTAATTTGAATGAAATATTTTCACAAGTTTTCGTTAATTACATTAGAAAAAAAATTAAGGTAATTCGATTTTATTCGGTTAAGGTACAAAAAAATTAAGATCAAAGTTTATTGTATTATTAATATTAAAATTATGCATTTTTTCTTTTCTATTTACAGAGCTTCTTCCTAAAATACTTTCTTAAATATGACATGATTTTTGGCTTCTGAGGCATCTTTTAAATCGAAAAATGTAAGTCAATTTATAATTAATGCTCTATTCAGTTCATTTTAAATTAGATAATTATTAGGAATTAGCGAAATACTTTAAATAGTACTTGACTTTCTCTGAACATTTCTGAAAGGGAATAAAATAAGTTTTTTTTTTTTTTTTTTTTTTTTTTTTTTTTTTTTTTTTTTAAGTATTATTTAAAATTTGTAACTGAGTTATTATAAAATGTAAGGGGAATAATTCTTTTAATTATACTTATCAGATTTTTTTTTACCCTTCATTTCAACAATACATATTCCAAAACTCTTTATTACTTTCTTAAGTGCGCATCTCATAGCATTTGCTTTACAATACCTTTTAACAGATTGCTTTCCAATACGAACAATTCTTGCTTAAATAGTTTTATAACGTATTTGTCGACAGGATTTCAATTTATGTTTACCATTCAATATTAAGGTTATTGTATATTTAGATAACATTTATAATGATTATAAATTAGATACATTTAATAATTAGATTTCTTCACAGTACTTTCACAGTTGTTTATAAGTGAATAAATTCTTCATTTCAAATACATTTATAAATAATTTAATGAATATTTATGTATTCTGTCAAAGGCAGATACATGCTTTTTTGCAATAATATGCACAACAGTAATATATGGATGTGAAAAAAATTTGTTTTATTTAAAACATTTTGGCGGTTTTGGAAAATAAAATAAAAAGTAGCGAATACTCTATCAAGGGTATCGAAAGACGTATACAATTTTTTTAAAATGTACCGTAAGATATTTTTTCATTCTTTAAGCATAACAATTTTTCTTAAAATCTATATATTTTTGTAGTTCAACAGCTTAGAATTTTATAAAACAAATTCATAATCAAAATCGCGCTGTTGTTAGTTATCGAAAAATAACCAAGATGTGATTTTTGCGTAAATGTCACTAAACTATACAAATTGCTATTATCCATCACACTATGAATGTTTCTTTCACGCGAAAGTGTCCCTTTTTCGATTTGTATGGAACTGTCGTGTGTCGAAATACTATCAGAACCGTGTCAAGCGAGCTTCTGAATGTAAACAAAGAACACCCCATCTAGTGACCCAAGCTTCAAAGTAGTGCTTCACTTCTAGTGCAGACTGGCCCCTCCTTCCTTTCCTACCTCCATGTTTTATTCTTACCTCCATGCCACTAAAGGGTTTCGAAAATAGACCAATGAGCTCCTATTGCTCTTTAGACGCTGAAACTTTGAAACTACGCATATGAGAGCCTGCTATTGTTTACGTTTTATTTTGCACTTGTTTCCCAGTTATAAATGTGAGGCGTATAAATGCTGCTGTCATTTTAAGGGGTATCAGATACCCCTATACTCACAATTTAGCACTTTCCTAACACAAAGAATTAAAAAAAAAAAAAAAATTATTTCTAAGTTTATTACAAAAAGCTCATTTTAGTAAATATTAGGGAATCTAATAAATAAGCCATAAAAAGTTTAGATACCTGTGAGCAGTAGTTCCCGAGAAAAGGTACATCGAGTATAAAAAAATCACGTTTGGAGAAAAACGCGTTTTGATGTAAAAATCCTCATTGATCAAAGCAGTAGATGACAAATTAAAACTAATTTTTTTTACAGTAATTTTAATAGAGATTAAAGAATGGTATTTTTAGAAAGAGAAAAGTGTAGAGAATTTGAAAATGCAAAAATCCGAAATCACAATTTTTTGAAGATTTTGGGGTTCCAACACCCCTTAACGGAAAATCTCGTAGTGCTTTCATTTTATAAATTTATTTAATCGTCAACGTTTCACTTTGGCGAAATTTAATCACGCACTGATATTCGGATTAATGTTCGTGGTGCTCTTTCTACCGAGAAAATGACTCAAGCTACAATTAGCCTCGAAAACTATGCATTTACTAGCACCTGTGGATTAAAATAATTGAAGTGTATATGATTAAGAGAATTAAAGTGTATATTGAAGTGTATTTATTCAGCTGAGAATAACTGGAACTCTTACAACGGATCTAATATTTTCTTATCTCGGTGCTTGCAGTCCTTTGATTTTGAAGGCGTAAGATTCAAAATATACATAGCGAATGATCTGATTATACCTATTGCTAACATTAAAAGTTATATAAAAATAAAGTATATTCGTTGTGAATAAGATAAATTCATTCTGTTTGAAGAGTATTTCTTCTGCGGGCTTTACATTTAAAAGTGAAGAGTTATTAATGTGAAATTTAACACACTAAATGTCTAGAAATACAAATTAGGAAATTTTACTTTAAATAAAACTATGTATTGATTATTATTATGGAACATTCTTCATCATATAGATTGCAATAAAAATGCTAAGACTTCTACTATTTACATATATAATTAGGCTTATATTTGATCTAACTTCGCACTGTAATGTTTCGCAAGACATCCCCGATGCTTTAATTACTTTGTAGTACAAGAAATTGCGTGGCAAAACATTTTCAACCATTTTGCTTATAGCATGGCAAAGGTTATATTAAATGACAGGAATATTACTGGAAGCCCATCGGTCCATTCTAAAAGCCATTCCATCTGTGGCGATACAGATGTACACTTATGAAATATGCTATAGGAACTGAGGGTTTATTGAAAAGTTCAGGAAAAAAAAAAAAAATTAGTATTGTTAGCCGTCGAGTTCGCGATCGACTTTTTAATGCCTGTAATAAGAAAATGGATGGGATTATTTAATTATGGCAAAGCACACGAGCGCTATCTGCCTAAAGGGAGGGATGCCTTCGTGGAGGACTTTCTAAGGAAAACTGGCTCGTATGCACGTTACACTTGGGGAAAACCACAAAAACGCCCATGCAGCCAGCCCGTTCGCGGGAACTTATAGTGAGTAGTGTTCTAAAAATATGAGTTGTTCACATGTTTGCTGGAAACGTTCAGTCATAACTCAATGCTTTTAATACTATACGTCGAAAATCTGGAAAGTCGTGTGTACGTAATCTACATATTATAATAGGTAGTATAGGCATTTGATTTTGAAATGCAGTTTCATAAATTTAATTACCATCTTCCTTTACAGTATTAGGTTTATAAACTGTTATTAATCTGATTTATTATTTACGTATTTCGAGTTGTGGAAGTTAAGTTACCTTTCTTGGGTATTTATAGGGTGCTGTCACTCGCTTACTATGATCTTGAAGTTCCTTTATCAAATGCTGTTCGTTCTTTTCACGATAAGTATCCTTGAGGACTATGAAAGCTTTTACAACCTAAAAGTATACATAATGTTTAAAAGTACACTTTCATTCGCAATGACATTAATAACAAAAAGGCAATTAGCTTTTCATAAAACAAATTTCATTCATTTCATTCAAAAATTTCATTCATTTTCAGCATTTCAAAGAACTTAATAAAATACATACATTTTTTTTCAAATACTCGACTTCAAATATACTTAATTTCATGTATTATATCTTAACGAAAATATAACTTTTGACCGCTCTTGAATCTATCTGAACTATTGTTTTGTGTGTCATCTGTACGTACTGCGAGAATAAAGGATATTTCTTTCCAAAACGGGTCATAAAATGGATTCGAAGCGAATTTTTCTCGTGACGTACGTATATATCTCGCATAGCTCAAAAACGATTAGCCTTAGAATGTTGAAATTTTGTACGTGTCTTAAAGTCATATCTTGATTTTCAGCGCCCTAGGACAGCTGAAGATTTCGTGCCCTCCCTTCCTGTTTGCTAAGAGAAGAAAACTTTTCATTCTAAAATTTCTTAACATCAATTTGGCACCCCCTGGATACTGCGTCGGGGACAGAAGTCCTCTCTTGCTCCCTCCTAGCTGATGGGACTGCAATAACATGTAGTTGCGCACCTCCCCTTTCCGTTTCAATCGGCCGAACCAAGTTACCAAAAAATGGATTGAAGGACTTTTTTTTTTTTTTTTTTTTTTTTTTTTTTTTTTGCTTTATTACTACTATAACTACTAGTTGTTGCTTGATAGACAAATTTCCTTCACCTAATTACTGCCATTTTTAACTGTTTCATATTCATTTTTCTTTTAAAAAAAAATTCATTTATTCTATTTTAACTTTTAGGAATTGGTATTTAAATTGCATTGTTCATTTGGAGTATATACATTGACTTCACACTGAAATTGCTATGTTTTGGCTAAATTTGCATCTTTAATAGGAGTTGTTTCTTTCATATACTTACGTATGTACCCACCCTCTTACCCGGCTTGGTGAGCTCTATGTTTTTATTCTTATGTGTTGGTAAATTGCGCAATGTTTGCTTTAAATGTGATTGAATTATGGTGTATATGTTCCGGTTATTGTTTTATGCCTTTAGTTAACCTGCATGCCTTTAGTTAATCTGCATTTAGTTGTAGAATTATCAACAATTTAATAGTGTAAGTGGCGTCTAGGCCTAACTTGGCGGCTGTTTGTTTACATTTTAAACTCTTAGTAGTATAGTAAATTAAGTTATTTGGTGCAACAACTTCAGCCTCTTTATGCACCTAGTTAGGACCCAAAAGTAACTTTAAATTTTTGTGAACCAAAACATTTATCTTCCTGCCACTGAGTATATTGCTTATTTTTGCGTAGAAACAGTAATTTTAATGAGATACGTCCCGCCGACCTCAGAGATCACGTGACTTATGTATAGCTAATGTCAACAAAGTCATTCTTCCTCTTCTGTTTTGGAATGTATCTCTTTGCAAAATAAAATTTTTAACCGTTTTGAACTGCATTTGGCGTTTTAGATTTTTAGTTTTTTCTGTATTTTACAATTTTTAATGAAGATGCCTTGAATTATATATTTTTGCCTTGCCGAGAAATGGGGACTGAATTGTTTGAATGAGAAATACATCTTTAATGAAATTCGAGGAAATAAAGTTTAAATGAAGTGAATGTGAAAAGAATGTGTATAATTTAATATAACGTTCAAAGAAGTCATGAGGAATGCACATCAGATTTTAATTTATAAAAATAATAGGAGGATAAATTATGAAACAGACTAAATGAAGTCGGCTAGTAAATTAGGATGGAACTGTGTTAAGTCCGAAGAAAAGGTTATACGTTAGAATAAAAAAATAAAAGGAATTGAAAAGGTTAATTTGTAGAGTTAAAATAAAGTGTTAAAATGAAGTTTAATTTCACGCAACAGAATAAATCCATTGAATAATGGTACTTCAGATCTGGTCTGTACTGGAAGTGTTGTTTTAGAAATTTCTTTGTACATGTGAGATAAATAATCGCTAGTTCCTCTTGCACGAAAGTAGACATTGCCACAATTGGAACAGGAAAGACGTAGTAAATTAGCATAGTCATTTCGCCTAAAATTTTAAAATAATGGAATAAATGCAATAAATTAGCAAAATAATATTCAATTAATAGGTATTAAATGTTAGATGTAGTACGAAAAATTTGTGTATGAGTGCATGAAACATTCCAGTTGAGACTACATTTGGAAATGAATTAATAATGATGTAAATTACTAGGATTTATAATGGTAAGACTATTACAGAATGAAAATTGCACAAGTAAATTAAAATAGAATTATAAAATGTAGACTAAGTAAGGAATATTCACCACGAATAATAATATCAGCACTAAATGACATAAAATAAAATGTCTACTTTAAAAACCTTAGTACTCGTATGTTCAAGAAATTTAAACATGCGAAAAAGTGATGTAAATTAAGTGAAATAGCAAAATAAGTCAAATCAAAAGCGGTAAATTTTAGGATAAAAAAAAATGTCGTAATGAACAGAAAATATAAGCAATAAGTAAAAATTCAGTGAATAATGGAAACTGAAAAGGCAAAAAAATGGCCAAAAGTTAAAAATAGTGTTCCAAATTAAATCATATGATAAACAAAAAGCGTTCATTTGAATAACTCGTCAGGACTACTGTTCCTCCTAATAGCCTTCGGAAACATCTGCAAATCCTGAATGGGAGCAGGGAGCTTACTGAAACTATGCTCGTATGTGTAGAATGTACGACAAGGATGAGGAATGGTTGAATTACCTTTTATTTCTCACAGTTTACAGCCGTTCCTGCACTTCGGGATACAAAGACTAGCACTTATGGTCGAAAACGTAGAAAATAAGAAGTAAAATTGACTTAATCAGAACTAAACTTAGATATCTTGCAGAGACTCGTAACGCGAAGATTGGCCTTTTAACTCTACGTATGTAGTGAGCAGAATGCAGGAAACTACAATACGTCTTCAGGTACCAAAGAGAACTAAGTTCTGGCCTTAAAGACAGACAGGAACTGACTAAAAAGCACGCGCGTGGTAAGGCAGCGAGAAGTCTCTCTCTAACTCCTTCTTTTGGCTAAAAGCCATATCTAAATACTTAACAGTTTGCAAGCTCATTTGCATAACCAAATCTGCTCGCGTTTATTCTGGCCGAAAATGGAAACTAAGAGAGGATAGCACAGTTTTAAAATAAAATAAAGGTTAGTAAAATTTTAAATCCTTACAAACTATGCTGGTAAAATACAACAAATAATTGAAAAGTTAAAGCAGGCTGACAATTATAAACATTAAGGAGTACGAAAGAAATTCAAAATTGCATCTAAAATTAAATAAAAGTCATGTATATGTAATTGACATATTCTATACCTCCGTACAAACACATCTTAATAAGCTGTTATCATACACGTTATTCGTTTGGAAACATCCTTCCCGATTTCTGGCGCAAGTGGCCCTATGGTTTATTTAGGATGTCCCAATTATTGGTACAAACGCACATTCATGCAGTACACACATTAAAGTAGAATTCCCATTGTTTATCGATTATTACTGATATAATTCATAATCTTTCTTGATAGACATATTGCCTTGTGAAAATTTCATTAAATTCATTCCAGATTAAAAGTTTTATTTAAGATAAAAATCTTTTCCTACATGATATAAATATATATCACTGTAGGTTTGTCTTTTTATGCCCAGATAGTATAGTGGTTAGGGGAGCCGACTACGTTACCGAAGGGCCCGCGTTCAAATCCCAGGGAAGGTATGGTTGTAACTGTCTATCCCTTTATAGGAGGTAAAGATGACCGCCTGTTAGGTGCTTCCACAATAAAATAGCCACAACTTTCGGCCTTAGAAAAATGGCCAATGTCGAAAAAAAGACAAAAAAAGTTCCCGCCATTCGAGGGAAAAGTATATTTGTCTTCTTCTTATTATTAGTTATGTATGGTTTTTATTTTGTCGGATATTTCTCATTTGTCTTTCAATAATTTGTAGGTGTAATTCTTCATAAGTACCTTCTTCTTCAAACACTTCAACTCCATGATTTAAGTTTCACGTTGTGTAACAGCCTCTTTGGCAATGCATCCTCCCTAAAAGCAAACAGGTTGGTAACTCTTTCTGCATTTTAATATTTTCGTCTCTGACGAATCTTTCGTTCCGGTCTCTGAGAATTATCTTACTTCCATTATGCAGGATATTTTAGATTGACGGCAATTATTTATCTGTTACACCTTTTAAAGTATCTAAACAAAATGAAGACCTTTTGTATTATTGTTTTAATCCACTTATTACCATTAAATACTCACCTCTCCACGGGAAGGGTCGGGACTGCCTGTAACAGCAACTTCAACGACAGCTGGATGTTCCATCAGAGCACTTTCAACTTCGAATGGGCCGATACGGTATCTGTTCTTCAGGAGAGGATAATTAATTTGTTGTTATAATAATTTTATTTGAGCTCATGATATGCATGAGCTACAGATAAATCATAAAATAATAAACTAGTATATAATAAATTCCTTAATTGACTAAATTTTGCAAATGCCGTTTTAAATATTAAGGGGTAGCGAAGTTTTAAGCATGATTACAACTACGTTTGTATTCCTAAATTCTCTATAAATGTCATGGCATTTTCACGTTATTTATTAAAATAATAATCGTAGTCTATCTGGTATATGTGATGGCACATTTTTATAGTCTTGGTTCTTCGAAATCTGACTGTTGTAATGTAAACAAACGAGGGTATTTCAGTTAAAATACAGTCTAACGCAGTGGTCTCCAAACTAAGGCCGTCAGCATTATGGATCCATTTTAAAATAATTTTATAAAATTTTAAATAAGCAAGGTAACATGTTTACTACTTTACATAACGACCGATCTATAAATACATTGCCTGTTTTACACATTCTTTATAAAGCATATTATAGACATTATACAACCACTTCTAAATTTACAATAAGTGAAATGCAGTAGCATCCTATTAAAAAAATTGTCACTTTCTTTTCTTTCTTTCCACCGACAGCGAGGCAGCCGATTCACTGGGGCAGTTAGCAAATCAGCCAGGTAGCCCCGCTGACGGAATTAACTTTGTCTACATAACACACTTTGGTGCATATTGTGCTCAAGACGAGTGCTGGGGGTGCAAACAAATGCTGGGCGAGTCAATGGTGGAGTGATGGACGAAGGGTGCATTGTGGGTGAGGAGAAAAATTTTAGTTTTACATTTACAGAGTGATTTTTATTGATTTATAGATGGTTACAACTCAAGTGGCTCTCAATAGGCATCCGCAACGTGAACAATAAATGAGTATTGTGGATAGTTAAAATACAGGTATAACAGAGTTATCATCAGCTGAATAGTGCATTAATTAAATGTCTGAATGAATATTGGAATACAAGGAATTAAAATAGTGACTGATAAAAAAGTAAAAATAATACATTAAATAACGCAAAATACATTAAGATTACAAATAATAATTAATAACGCAAAATACATTCAAGGATCACAATTCAAGGAAATATGTATAAACAGAGAAAAGCAGAAAAATCTAACTTAAAATAAAATAAATTAACTACAAGTACATAATATACGGAGGCTGTGCTGGTGACGAGGATGGCAGCTGAAAATTACTCCAGCCTGTCTGAGGTATTACATGCAATATTAATGGAGTCGCATATGCGTTTCAATCTATAGCAATTTTTTTCAAGTAACTTTGGCCCATGGATATGGTCCGCTACTGGCTGTTAAGATGATGTTGTGCAGTCCCTCTGCAAACCAACACGTCCGGATCTTCTGCCATCCCGCATGAGCACTGGTCATTTTCGCGTCGTCTGAAGCGTTAAGGTAAGTCATTAATGCACCATGTAAGTTGCACCAGGTAAGTCATCAATGCACCATGCCCTGATGGAAACTGGGTAAAGTGAAGCGAGCTACTTCTTAGAAGCCGATAGACTTTTGGGGAAAATCTGTAACTCTTCTGTCGAGGTCTCCGTCTCTCACAGATGTTGGCAACACTTCAATAATTTTCTCTCGAACTCGGCTTTTAAGAACGAGGCCGGAAGAGGCATATGAAGTGTGAGAACGTGGGGATCGGTTGCTACTCTTCTGGCTGTTACATCTGCAATTTCATTACCCAGTATTCCGGTGTGGGCGGGTACCCACTGGAGGTGGAGCCTATAGTATTTTATATGCGTCTCATATGTCTAGTCTCATATGCGTTTATTAAGAGTTTTCGTATGGCCCTGACGAGTGAATTTTTGCTGCATGTGCCTTGGATTGCCTGAAGGCTAGAGGCCGAGTCTGAATGAATATTGGAATAATTATTTCTCAGTGCATATACAAGTGCATCATTTAATGCAATCTCTTTAGTCTGAGAGACTGAGTTGTGGTGCCTGAGCTTTCTTTCCCAAGTCTTTAAGATTTGATTCCCATGTAAAACAGAATATCCTCTACCTGTGCCACATTCTCCTTTGGATCCATCGGTGTAGATTACGGTGGCTTTGAACCGCGTTAGCGACTTACCGTTAATCGAAATATTGAATTCGGCCGGTTGACAAGGTGGCTAGGGAATGCTTTGATAATAAGTCCTGTCCCAAAAACTTGTCTCTTTGAGTCGGAGCATACGCACTATTGCACTCTCGCGCTGAGCTGAGAGATGCAGAGGCGGTAGACTTGAAATCACATTTAGTGCATTAGTAGGCGATGTTTTGTATCCCCGGGAAATGCTTAGGAGGGTTGGATTTTGTGCTGAGCGCAGCAGATTCTCCATATTAGAACTGACCGTTACGCCCCTTACGGAGACCCACGCAATGCAATACGCTTAGCAACTACGGAGTATCGAAGATACTCCCCATGTTGGTGCTGCTGTCCTGAGCATAAAATGAAATATCCTGCGAAGTTGTCCCTTGACTTCCTTTAAATTTGATTAAATTCCTTTAATAATAATTTGATAAAATTCCTTTAAATTAAAGTTATCTCAAGTTTCTAACTACTATTTTAATAAGTTTGCCATAAAGGTTGATGCACGGGATTCTTCGATGGCTCTTACATGGACAAATAAGCATACGTTGGGGTTTAAATTGGTAATAATTAACTTATGGTCATTGGCCCATTTGGTAATCTTGTCCATTGCTTCTTGCGGCCTGGTCTCATATGCGTTGCGGTTGCGTCCTTTCGTTACCAGCAAAAAAGTCATCGGCATAAGCCATTATTTCTTTGTGAGGATCTTTGTTAAAGAGATTCAGCGCTGTGTCGGCTATAAGATTCCAAAGTAGCGGACCTAGACAGGATCCTTGTGGACAGCCTCTAGTGATTGATGAGTGCACACTTGCATCCGCTGTGACTTGTAAGCGGCGATCGCTAAGGTAGCTGTAATTTAGGTCAAAGAGGATCTTGGGGTAACCCGTGTCCTGTAATCCTTTGAGTACGTCGGGCCACAACAATGAATCGAAGGCGCCCTGTTTGTCCACAGAGGTAATGAGACTGTGTTGGTTATTTCTTCCGTTATTTACTATTATTTTTCATATGTGCTGCAGCGCGTGATCTACCGTTTACCAGTAACAATGTTTGGTGTCAGAAGTGAAAGTAAACGGACAACAGCGGGACAGCACTGGGAGACAATAGCGATGCTTGAGCAATCAAGAAAGCTGGTGATAGCCTTTACCGCTATTAATGAAGAGGTGAATGCGGGACAAGAAGAGATTGAAACAGGTCAAGAGGAAATGAAAAGATAAATTTCTGCCATAATAGAAAACAAATTTGAGGCTACAGAAAGTAGAATAGACATGCTTGAAGATAATGTTGGAGAAATTCACGAAAGAGTTTTCTCTACTGTCGAACAGCAAATTGATAATAAGAGTTTCTGCTGCTGTCACCAGGGGAGTTGATAGTTGAAAGTAATTAATAACGACAGCTGGTTGCAATTCTAACTCCTTTAAGTAATTCAAACATACGTCGTTGTGACCCTCTTTAAAGCTATTCACATATGATAGAAAGATCTCCTGGCAAGTGTACAAGACTGAGTTTTCTATAGTAGTAAACGCAAATTGATGGGATTTCGATGATAAAGCCTGCCATCTCGCCGTTTCTCTGAGAGCAGATGCAACCGGATATGCTTCAAACTCTGCCCCAAAACGAGAGACTAAACTTTGAAGCTCTATCCAGTGTGTTGGAGCTGCGCTTTCGAGAGAAGCGTTTAAAAGACTATAGCAGGCTTCAGTTAAAATCTCATCAACAGAAGCTCCGGTAACACTCCAACAGCTCGCCACGCCACGAATGTTGAATACCTCATCTCGCCTTTTCGGACTGCCCCTCAGAAACAAGGATAATCCTGTCCCTGCAGTACTTCATTCGATGGCATCCGGACCCTGAGATACAGAAAACTATACGAATGTCAAATGCAGAACGCAAAAACGCAGCAAAACGCAGAAATCAAATTAATGGAGTTTAGTGATTTTGTGGAAGAATCCGGAAAACACATTTTCGAAGTCCTACGAAGTCAAGGAAAAGGGCTTTAGTGCATGCCATAAAATTAAATTCGAGGCAGTCGATCAAGTGACTCGTAAAGACCACCCAATCAGAGCTGATCATGTCCAGTTGCCAGTAGATCAACGGACTGTTCGTATAGAACATTTAACACAGAAAATCAATGTGGTGGGGCAACAAACGGACCCTAAAGTGTTGGAACTGCGGACTGCCTACGAAGGAACTACAGAATACCCCAAGGGTTGAACAATATGACCGCTCCCCAGCAAAAACGCAGAAATCAAATTAATGGAGTTTGGTGATTTTGTGGAAGAATCCGGAAAACACATTTTCGAAGCCCTACGATCGATTCTTCCAGAAGTTGAAATGTGGCAGGAGAGATGGAATTCGGGTTTGACTGGTCACAGAACTTCCAGATTTATTCCCAAAATTTCGATGTGAAAGAACGTAGATTCCAAAAGCTGCTTATTCTTTACAGGCCATGGTCCGTTCCTGTCATATGTACACTGCTCAAAAAAAAAAAAAAAAAAAAAAAAAAAAAAGGACAGTGCTATATTTCCCGTTCTACTGGGGCGATTCACGAAATTCAAATTGCGTTCTTCATGTCTCGAAAGCTCGACTTAGGATATATATTAGATTTATATATAGCACTATTCTAACATAGGTATTTTGACCCAAAATAGGACTTTTTCTGAAATAACATACCATTTTTGTTACATATTTCGAATCTACGGCTCAAATTATGCCAAAATATCAAGTTTTGTAAAAATCGTACGAGTAGTTTTTAAAATATTAGCTCTCAAAATTTTATCTCCTCAATGTTAATTGAATTTGGCAAATATTTATTTATATCTCTTTTTTTATTAAACTTTTTTTTATTTTTTCTCTCACATTTCGAAATTTAGGTTCATTCCAAATAAAATTTACCCATT